CATTGGATAGGTGATTAAACTGGGCCCAAGCTGTCATACTGTGACTTAATTTGAGTTTTGTTTCAAGAATTTGAATTCCTAAAGTGAAAAGTAAAATTGAATTTTTAAACAAAACAGATAAGTGGATCTGCAAACTTCTCTTTTAATGATGATGAGATGAAAAGGGTAATGGATTTTTCCAATGGGCACTCTGAATACATGGACCTGTCCGTCCCGGGACCCATAGAAATTGTAGCTACGGTGACGGAATCACTCACAGGTTTGTAGCCTTTGAGGCCGAGGTAAAGCTGCTTTGCTGTTGTTATCACGTACTAGCACTTCAGTTTGTCAACAGTGTTTGTTGCTTTTCTAAGGGGGTTAATGTTGAAGTTGTCATGACTAATCTTTTACTTACAGAATGTTTTCACACCTTTAATCCCAACACTCATGAAGCAGAGCACATGGATCTCTGTGAATTTGAGGCTAGCCTGCTCTACATTGTGAGTTTCAGGCCAACTAGGGCTACAGGGAGATACTGTCTCAAAAAAAAAAAAAGGAAACATTTTCTATGGAAGACTGTGTTTCAAGCACATCTAATAGCTCTTTGCATTTTTTTCTATTTCAGTTCTCTTATCTTCTGGCTGATACATTCCTTCATCACTTAGTCTGAAATCTCACTTGCTTCTAGATAGATTACGTTTTCAATAAGAACGTAAAGCTAATCATCTGGACCTTTGTATTATTTTACCAACAAGCCGAGCCTGTTCTGTGAGTGCTTCAGCTGCTGGAGGACGGCAGCAGTGCTCAGGAGTTCACAGAAAGCATGACAGAATTATGTGATTCTCAGGGCCAAAGCCAATAATGGATGTGAGGCTTATGTGCCCTGATGTCTTCAACTCCATCAGTGAGAAGCTTAGATTGGGAGATGAGGTAGAAACAAGCTATTGGTGAAATCTTACTTTTGTATTCTAAACAGTGCAATTCCCAACATAGGTATCTCAAGAAATGCAAGTTCCAATGTGTTTTTCAAGCAACACGATTACATCATTGAATTTTTTGACTATGCTACTGTCTTGAAGCCATCTCTCAACTTCACAGCTACTGTAAGTTGGTGTATTTTCTGCTAATCAACAAGCATGACAAATTCAGTGAAATGAGACAGAGTGGGAAATAGCATGCTCAGCATCTCTTTAAAACTTAAAAAAAAGTATTTATTTTTATTTGTGACTATGAATATATGTATACCTGCATGTATGTATGTATACCACATGTATGTGATGCCTATGGAGACCAGAAGAGTGTGTCAGAGCCCCTGGAACTGGAGTTCTAGACAATTGAGGAACTGAACCTGGGTCCTCTGTAAGAGCAGTCAGTGCTCTTAATTGCTGAGCTATCTCTCTGGCTCTAATTTTTTTAAATGAGTTATAACAAGTGCCAAAATAGTTTTTCTGAAAATCAGTTTATTTGATGGAGATTGCTATACTTAAGGTTTTATTAATTGAAGAAATTAAATGACAGTCGAAAAATCTTAGTTTGATATTTTGATTTTTAGTGACTGATTTTAATTTTATCAAAGACACAATATTAATCAAAAACAAGGATAGTCTCTCTTTAAAAGAGAACATTGAATTAACACTTAGTCTTTTTTTTTTTTTTTGGTCTTTTTGAGACAGGGTCTCCCTGTAGCCCCAGCTGGCCTGGAGCTCACTATGTAGACCAGGCTGGCCTCGAACTCACAGAGATCTGCCTGCCTCTGCCTCCCAAGTGCTGGGACTAAAGGCGTGTGCTACCGCTACTGCCTAGTAGTTTTTTTTTTGGTCTTTTTGAGACAGGGTTTCCCTGTAGCCCCAGCTGGCCTGAACTCACTGTAGACCAGGCTGGCCTTGGACTCACAGAGATCTGCTTGCTTCTGCCTCCCAAGTGCTGGAACTAAAGGCGTGCGCCACCATGCATGGCAACACTTAGTCTTTGAGTGACTTAAAAAATTTGAATGAATTCTTGTAGAAAGCATAAAAACGATGTTTCTCTTTATGACATTCCATAATATGCCATTTGAACATTGCTCATATTTGTACCCCACCCTCCAACTTGAATGAGTTTTGGCAATGTTCCTGCCTTAATAGGCAGGCCTATTAAGCTGAGGAAGACCTTGGGAAGGAGGGAGAGTTGGCTTTGGGGTAAGGATGGAAGTTATTAAGAGGAGACTCTGAATCAGTGCAAGATTAGTAGTGTTTAAATTGTTTGGGCATGGAGGTGGGAGGCAGGAAGCAAAATGAGCTGAGACAAAAGCAAGAGCTGTGGCTGGCAAGATCAGTGGCTGGCAAGATTAGACCAGTGACTGGACAAGTGTGTTTGCAGCTGAGAACTTGCATCTGGGCTTGATTCAATAGGATGTGAAGCTTGGGAAATTCTAGAGGATCCTGAGTGTCTTACGTACGGTGTTGAACATTATGCTCTAGGCAGTGGGAAGTTTTGGAGCCTATGAACACCCAGATGTGGTGAGAGCACTGTTTGAGAAAGACTGATGAGGGCTGTGTGGAGAAGGTGGCAGCAGCCAGGTGTGCGAGGGGAGGAGAAGCCCGTGGTGGTGGCTGTGAGAGTGGAGAGGAAGGGCAAGGGACATAAGGGACTTACTATCCACTGGGGTTGTGAGGTAGGGAGAGTGTGGGGGGAAATTCAGAGATAGCAAGTCTGGTAGGATGGTGGTGTGGATAAAACCAGACAAGGTAAGATGTACTTGGTGTGCTGAACTGGATTCTTGGTACTGAATTGGTTACCAAGCTTGGATTTCCCGCTGGGAAATGGAGCTCTTGATATGAACTCCAGGGTAAGAAGGATGGGAATTTTGGATTTGGGCTATACTCACAAAGCTAAACCACAGGAGTGTTGGAATCTTTGCAGGAGGGAAAAGAACGACGGGTACCTGATTATTTGACCTTGACAAATCCTCACCTTTAGAAAGAGGGAATGGGAACCTAACACTCATCGAGAGTGTTACCATACTTGAAGTCACGGCCTGCATCCCAAACAAACCCATGTTTGGCCACATGTCCTGATAAATAATGAAAGCAGCCAAATTAATAGCAAAAAGGAGATTTATTCAGTGTGGCCACATTGGAAAGAGGGACAAAGAGATCCGGAGAACCCCCTCCCCCAACACTAAATCCATCTTTGGAGTCTTGAAGTGAAATTAAGGTTTAAGTAGAGGGCAGAGTTAACATATATAAGGAGGTCCTAGGCAAGGTATGGTCCCAGCTACAATGTTACCTCATTGCTTCTCCTGTGAGGTGGAATGCCCACTTATAAATCTCTTTCTTGGAGAAAAGTTTCCTGGTCAGCTGGCCTAGGCTATAGGCTTTCTCTTTGCCCAACATGGGGCAATTTGATTTTCAACAGTCTAAAAACCAGAGGGAGGGACCCAAGTTGGTTTCTCTCTCTCTCTCTCTCTCTCTCTCTCTCTCTCTCTCTTTCTCTATTTTGCTTTTTTGAGACAGGGTCTCACTATGTAGCCCTGGTTAGCCTGGAACTTGCTATGTAGATCAGAGATCCACTAACCTCTGTCTCTGCTTCTGGAGTGCTGGGACTAAAGGCCTGAGCCACCAGGCCCAGCCCCAAGTGTCTCTAGAATATCTTCATGCCTGCCAGCCCCATTACAAGAGAATGCAGAGGAAGGGATGAATCAAAAGAGCTGTTGAAGGCAAGGAAGCCATGCTTCTAAGAGCAGTGGTCATGGTGCCTAACGCCTCCTGGAGAAGGTCACTGAACATGGATTGGGGCGCTACCAATAACTGTCAAAAGTTCAGTTTCACGGGAACAGTACAGACAGAAACTGCGTTCAGTTCAGTTTACATCTTTTGCTTTTCCTGTTATCTGTCTTAAAATATCTTGTTTTGACAATTAGGTGAAGGTCACCCGCTCCGATGGCAATCAGCTAACTGCAGAAGAAAGAAGAAATAATGTAGTCATAGCAGTGACCCAGAGAAACACCACCAACATCTGGAATTCATGGACCAGTGATGGTCAGGAAGCGAATGATGTCCAGATCATAAATTATACTGTGCCGGAACACGGAATCTTTAAGATTGAATTCCCGATCCTGGCCGATTCCAGTGAACTACAGTTGAAGGTGCCACCTGTTTCCTGTCCTTGTGTCACGGCAGCAACGTGACTTCTGCTGTTGCAGTCTTGTGGGAGGGTCTCACCCTGCCCCAGCCACTGTCTGTGTTTTAAAACAGGGGTAAAGTGTTAGAAGTAATTTAAGACAGTGGCTAACGTTACCTTGAATGTTCCCCTTGTAACTTCATTTGAGAACCACAGAACAATACAGCAATGTGAAGCTATGCCACAGAGGCTCCCGAAACCCTCATGGAGGTTGATTTTCAGTCATTTGAAGTTTTGTTTTGGCAGGAGCTGGAAACGAAAAGGGTTAGACACACCCCTTCCCTGGGCTTTCTTTCCTTAAGTGGCTACTTTGAGAACCCCCAGCATTCTTATAGCCTTCCTATTGGTTAGTCATCCCTGCCAGTCTGAGGCCTGGCTGGATGGAGTACCCCACAGAGGGATGGGGCCTCTTCTGATTTTTATTCCTCTTTTCTTTTTTGGAGGCAGGCTCTCATTATACAGCCCAGCCTGGCCTGGAGCCCACTCTGCAGCCCAGGTTGGCCTCAAACTCATGGTCCTCCCGCCTCTGCCTCCTAAGTGCTGGGACTCAGGTGTGCACCACTACTCCTGGCTGACTTTTACCCTTCACAGTGGTGGATTAAGTGGGGTATGATATTTCTTATATACTTTATATGGAAGGAAGAAAAGGGAATTTTACATCTAATTCTCTCCTCTCAGCATCTTGTGATAGACACCTTTGTTTCTGAAGTAAGCTCAGAATGTGCTTTCTTCCTCTAGGTTACGGTGGTAAAGACCTTTTTTTTTTTTTATTCTTTATAGTATAAGCTATAAAATGATGAAGAGCCACTGTCTGGTGAATGTATGTTTCATGCAGTTGAGGTGGGTGGGGGGAGAAAGTGAATCTGGCCTTGATTAATTCAATAGGTAGAGCTTTTCTCAAAGTTACTGAGGTTGAAAATGTCCTGCTTTCTTTCTTTTGCTGTAGGCTTCTTTTCTTGATACTGTGAGTAATATGGCAGTTCATGGCATGTTCACATCGCCTAGTAAGACATACATCCAGCTAAAAGCAACAGATGAATATGTAAAGGTAATGCTCACAGCTCACCTGATAATTACAGTGTTATTTGGCATTCTTGCTACTGATATATTCGTATTCATTAATATCTTTTTCTAGGTGGGATCACCTTTTGAGTTGGTGGTCAGTGGCAACAAGAAATTGAACAACTTAAGCTATATGGTACTTTCTTTATTTTAAACTTTATTGTTATTATTTTAAATATTTATTTTTATTTTAGGTCTGTATTTTTCCTACATGTATATATGTATACGATGTGTGTGTCTGGTGCCTGGGGAGACCAGAAGAGGATGTTTGAGTCTCTACGTGGGTGTTGGGAACTGAACTCAGTTCCTTTGCAAAAGCAGGAAGTGTTCTTAACCACCGAGTCATCTCTCCAGTCCCTATTATTATTATTATTGTGTGAGTATGAATGTATGTGCAGGAGTACAGGCATTTGTGTGCCATGTTTGTGTGTGTATGTGTGTGTGTGTGTGTGTGTGTGTGTAGGTCAGAGGACAACTTTCAGGAGTCAGTTCTCTGCTTCCACTATGGATTCTGGGGATTGAACTTAGATAATCAGGCTTGCACAAACAAGTACCTTTACCCACTGAGCCATCTTGTTGGCCTGGCAAATTCTTATAAAGTTTAAATTTGTGATCTGTTATAGAATCATCTTAAATGATGTCTGTCTTATAGCTTCATCAAATTTACTAAATTTTAAAATTAGCCTTCTCTTTTTATACAATATTTCTTTCTTAAACTATATTTGCATTTTCATTTAAAAATAGATAGAGGCTAGAGAGATGGCTCAGAGGTTAAGAGCACTGACTGCTCTTACAGGACCCAGATTCGGTTCCCAGCACCCACATGGTGGCTAATAGTTGTATGTAGCTCCAGTTCCAGGGGAATCTGAAGCCTTCTTTTGACTTCCTCAGACATTGTATGACATGGGTGCACTTACACACATGCAGGCAATACACTCATACACATAAAATAAAAAAATTAAACATAATTAAATTTTGTATTATGTTTAAAATTTAAATTTCTATTATATAGTCAACATCTGTCCATTTCAGAGAATTATGAAATATAAAAAAGAAAATAAAAATTGTCATCATGCTTTTGTAATTTTGCTAACCCAACTCTCCCAGTGGAGCACTGTATCCCTCCAGTAAAAAAAATAGGATCTCTTCCAGTATAAAGAAATGACCAGATAGACCAGTTATCGTAATCTCTGTTTATACATGTGCATGTATTGAAATGTCATATTGCGTCCTATAAATATGTATAGATATTATGTGTCAGTTGAAAATTAAAGATGCAAAAAAGAAATAAAAAATGTTTGAAGATAGGTTAAGTCAAGAATTTGTATGTATGCTTAAAATTATGATAAATATAACTTCAGTTGAGATAATGATCTTTAGCAGATAATTAAATTAATTTTTTTTCCAGGTAGTATCAAAGGGGCAGTTTGTGGCTGTAGGCAAACAAAAGTCAAGAATCTTCTCCTTA